TTGATTTCCATTTATCAAATTGACAGTGTTTTTACTAAGATTCTGTAAATACAGAGTTGAAGACTTTCAAAAGAAGAGATAAAAATATTCAGGCTCTGTTTTCATACTGCCAACCTCACAAGTTTGTTTTCTTCTTCTTCTGGTTAAGGTTTTTGGATTGTTCTATACTGGGAATGTGAGCCCCCATTTAACATATTTTGGCTTGAAAAATACTGATGTTTTCAGTTTTACCTTATATGTAAGAATTAGTGAACTTCTTAAAACAACAACTTGAAACATGAGGAGAATATGCACCATGAAAGCAGGGACCTTTTCTGTTTATCTGCTATTGTATTTCCAGCATTAGGCATAAGGCCTGGCCCACCAGAGGCACAGAATAAATAGTTGTTGAGTGGGTAACAAAGGTATAGGAGTGATTTCTAACCCTTTTGGAGTTGTGGTATCTCGTTTTTATTTCATGGTACTTTCCTGTCTTTCTACTTGAAGTTATCTTGTGTTCAATGAAGGTAGATTAATATAAAGTTTTGGAAAATTCGGTGACATTTGTGAAGATGATTGGAAATACTCTATTTTGTAATTCATAAATTACTATTGAATATACCCTTGACATGTGTGACCTTTATGCATTGTCAGATTTGGTAGAACATAATTTCCTTAATATTTTATTATGATGCATCTTTTTAAACAAAGATGTGAATGTTTATCTCTTTGTGGGTGGTACTGGTTGTATGACCAGTTGGGAAGAGCAGTGGTGAGATGCCAATGCTCGCCAGCTGAGTGGTTCCCTCCTGCACACTGGCTTTGCAGTGCACACTCATCACATTGATTCCTTAGGAGAATGACCCATCTCACTTATGCTGTGGACTTTATGGGTCTCTTGGAAAGAGTTAAAATTTCAGATGTTACATTTCTGGATGCCCAGAGACTACTGTAATAATTGGAAGAATATAGGACTTTAAAAAATTATAATATTATTTGTACTGTTTTCTTTGGTTTTTATTAGGTAAAAAGGCTCCAGTTTTATTTCGTAAAGAGATGATTGAGTCAATGAAGGAAGGTTCAGTTGTTGTGGATTTAGCTGCTGAGGCTGGCGGAAACTTTGAAACCACTAAGCCGGGAGAACTTTATGTTCACAAGGTATAGCAAAAAACTTCTATCTATGAACCATTTCTCACATTTTTCATGATTTGTGAGAAATATTTGGAGAGACTGAGACTTGGAATTTTTTTAAAATTAAAAATGTTGTTGTTGTTAGGTGCCATTGAGTTGGTTCCTACTCACAGCAACCCTGTGTACAACAGAATGAAACAC